TTTTAATATTTAATATTTATTTTTTAGTTCTCAGCAGACACAACATCTTTGTTGGTATGTGGTGCTGAGGATCGAACCCGGGCCACACGCATGCCAGGCGAGCGCGCTACCGCTTGAGCCACATCCCCAGCCCCCAGGTTTATTTTTTAACTATAAAATTCTTCATCACGGCTGATCATGGTTGTGCATGTCTGTAAGTTCCAGCTACTTGGGAGGCGGAGGTTGGAGAATCACTTGAGTCCAAGAGTTTGGGGCCAACCTGGGCAACATAGTGAGAACCCTGTCTTAAGAAATATTTTAAAATCTATGTCAGGAGTTTGAAAAGTATGGTGTGGGGGCAACTCCACTGCCTGTTTATATAAATCAAGTTTTATTGCAACACGGCCATGGGTATTTGCACATTGTCTATACTGCTTTTGCACAAAGGCCAATTTGAATAGTTTTGACAGAGACCTTGACTCACAAAGCTTAAACTACTTACTGCTGGGTTTTTTATAGAAAAGGTTTACAAACCCCTGTTCTTATGAACAATAATAGCTTGTGTCAGCAATCATTTATTGCTTTCCAGCTCCAAATTCAGCTTGTAGTTCCTGCTCTGGGAAATGTACTTTTAAGTATTTTCTGGAGGGCCAGTGAGCCTATGTGAAGGCTTGCTCCTGCGATATGTTTAGTGCTGCAGGTGTGTGGGAATATCCCATGGTACTCTGCTGCAGTTGCATGCCCAGAGTCGTCCTTTGGTGACCCCATCTGTTGACCACCTTCCTGCGCTGCCCCGGGGTTGACCCTGTGTACCGGCATTGTGTCTGTAGTAGTGTTGTGATTCCCACACATTGGAGTCACCTGCGGCTTTGAACATGGTTTTCTGCTTGCCCAACACCTGTGGAGCTCTGCCCCGAGCAGACTTCTCTGCCACCCAGTAGACTGCAACCTCATCTTCTCCAAGGGGGTCTGAACCCTGATCTTGAGGAGGAAGCTCCCCTTCCAAGGGTCCTCTCTTGAACACTCTGCCTCAGGCTTAGGGAAGTTTTAGAACTCTCCTGATGCCTTTATATGACTCTCCTTTCATAGCTAAATACTTCTTTAAATAATCTTCCTCTGTTTAAATTACTGTGTGGTTTCTGTCTCCCCATTGGATCCAGACCCATATACAACTTAAAGTGTTGCCATTTCCGATTCTTGGGACTAAAGCTTTTAAGACAAAATCTA